GACCCATTAAACAATCGTAAGCCGCGGATGGCACCGTGGGTATAACTTTGTCAGTTGACTTATTAGTAGAAAAAAGCAGTAAAAACGCCCAAAGCGCCGTGAAGCGGTTCCCCCTTTGCCTGGAAATTTTTGTTTTTGAATGAAAAGGGACACTATGAATGTGGGAGACGCCAGACACAAAGTGTGAGAAAACAGAAGCGATGACAGGCGCAGTCCTAAATATGAATGTAACGCTCTTCTTCCCAGCGCTAACTGCTGGGCGGGGTTACTGCAGCGATGAAGTACGCAGTCACACCCTTCCCATCTCTTGGACATGTGGTGCATCTTTCCGGTCTTGAACCCAACTACCTACGAATAGCTATGCCAAACGAGCCCTTAATGAGGAATTTTCGCAAGGTTCTCCGGATACTTGAATCATTGTGGAAAACAAAGGATATGTATTTGCTCAGTTTTGAAGGTAATAGTCCGTAATTGTGCACCTCAAACCCCTAATTGAGGAAGTTATCGTGCGCTGCAAATTCCATATAATTTTTTTCACCGACTATTTACAACATTGAAAAATATTTCTCCCTCGTGACGAAAAGTTTCATAGTTCAATGCGCTCCAAATGGCAAGAAAAGTCAACATTATAAAAAACATCTTCGAAAAGATTTACGGCATTCTAGGAAAGCCGATCTACAAATACATGTGTGTCATAGGGTAAATCACTTCAAGGCAGAGAAAAACATTTAAAACGCTGACACCAAAGTGAAAGGTGCTGTTTGGATTGTATTATTTATGTAGTCACTGAAATGTTATCTAATTTTCATATAATGCGCCTTGTAGCGCATCTGCAACTCCACTACTCCAGAGCTGAAAGTTTGCAATGTTCGATTCAGCCTGAATTGTGGTGTGAGAGGAGAGGAGGTGATTTTCTTATGAGGAATTCTGCATGGTCCATTCAGCCGTTATATAAAAAAGTAATGCATAATCAGATGAAAAGGAGGAGCAAAACCCGATTGACCAAATATCTAACGAGGCACATTCTATCGGGTCGGCTCACAAGCAATGGCGTTTTTTTCCTACTCGAAATGTCGCGCTGAAGAACAATTTTGCTATTATATTCTATAACATTTTGCGGAGAATTTCTTGCCCTACATAATAGTCTTCTTAGTTTTCTTCAAGTTTCTCTTTCCACTAATATTTAAGTGCTCAAACTGGAGTGTCAGGTCGACGAAATTGAGCATTTTCGACAGCCTCTCTTTTATACCTCTAATTAAAAAGCTAAAACCGCATGGGCCCAGCTGCTAAGTATATGGCTGAAAGGCTATGTCTCTTAGGAATGCTAATAATACTTAAGTGATTCGAAGATTTCAGTTTCGACCTCACAGACAAGCATCGAACCTAATGCCCTATTCTGTCCAACTGAGAGCTTACGGAATTACCTTATTAACTGAGAATCATGCCAAAGATTGAGGGATCGTTAGAGGTCATAGAATGCTTCCTTATCATTATCAACCACCACCCTCAGTTGATGTTAGACGTTCGAAAATAAGTGGGTAGGTTCTGCAGGCAGTCCCTCCCCAAAAAGGCCCCCCACCCGCGATGGTCTTTTACAAGGTCCACATTCCTATCCTTGATCGCTTGAACCAACTTCAAGCTGTCATAAGACGCATCTTCTTTGGTCATATATACCACAAGGTTTGAGCTTCTTCTGTAGATTGAGAGCCGAGATAAAATTCAAAAAGTAGTTGTCGAAAACTCACTTTTGGGTCGACCCGAATTTCCCTTTCAATGAAATAAAAATCGACACAAGTCGAGAAATAGTAAGAAGGCAATTATACTATCTTATAGTGCGGAAAATTATCTATCAACAGTGTAGAACATATTGGGAACAACTGTCGCTTTCCACATAAAAATTTGGGTGACAAAACACGCCGTAACTTATGGAACCTAATGCTTTCATGCTCACTTGGTTGGGGTTAAGAGGTATCACCGTGAGCATGTTATGCTTATGCAACAAACAGCTGTGGGAAAGGTTTTTGTTATCGAAGGATAGGGTATGGGTATGGGCCAAAAAGTGCTGCCAATATTTCCCTTCGCGGTGATGCTATTGCTCGGCCTCGATACGTGGGATGCATTTTGATGGCCTATATTTATACAGGGTACAGCATTATTGTGCGAAACCCATCCGGGTCATACTTGGCGTCTCGGGAGGGAGGGGGTCGTTGAGCACTAAACAGCTCATCACTACCAATAAGTTCGATGCAGCGGACGGGAAACCGCAGAGGGGCCGAATGTTTAGGACTACAAAATATTAAAACAACTCATTAGCAATATCAATAGTTAGCATGAACTCGTAAGTACGTAGATGACTAAATAATACATCTCAAACAGATTCGTGCGTTTCGTTATTCCCAAACCCTAAACAAACATCTGCTTGCATGGACAAAAATCACCTGAAATCAGAAGTTACACCTTTCCACCACCTCTGCGTAGAAGCGTAATGCACGGCGCACACTCGGACCAAATCGATCGATGATAACCAAATTATGCTTTGACTCAGTTACAACGGGAATATTTTATTCTAGTTTGAATGCAAACTGAAGTTTGTGAACGGGTATCCTAAGTGGCACAGAATGGTTCGAGCGGTGGTTCAGAAGGTCGCCATCCATTCAAAATATCGCCACCCATCCAAAATATCTTCTAAACTAGCTGATTCCCAGGAAAGCTGTAGAGCTAATTCGAAAGAGGAAATCTTGGGAAACACAGCAAAGAAGTATTCTCGTCTGAAGGATGAAAACGATTTACCGCTAAGTCCGTAACCCATCCAAAATATTTCACGAATCGCTTAAACAGTTATAAGCATTTCTAAGAAACACGCTCCTCGGCCATAAACTTGAAAAGTAGGCCTGCGCGGACTTAGCTTTTTAAATAGAAGTGAAAAGGAGAGGGTGTCAGAAATGCTCAATTTTGTTGACCTGGCACTCCGATTTGAGCACTTGAGAATCAGGTGAAGCGGAATCTCTCTTATAGGGTAAAACTCCTTGCAAAAGAGTATGAAATCAATGGTAAAACTTTTATCTTCTCTTGTGAGAAAAAACGCCGTTACGCATTGGCCAATCCACTATCCGCATAAACTACGTGAACAAGTCCCCTTGAGCGTGATATCAGTAGCACTCTGTGAGTCCTATCCCATTATTCGTGAAAAAAAAATTGTTTTCCACTATTCCCACATGACACATTACTACACAGTTAAATGATCCTCATTCTTGAGAACTAATTCCGTACCCTTTCTTCTCTGGGAATGTTCGGCACCGCACATCCTACACCGTTTTTAAACATTAAAATGCTTTCCTCATGGAAATTCTCCCCGTGGAGTGTGATTCGGCCAGAATATCAACTCCTAACGATGAATAACGCCCTGAGCATCAATATTACGGCCGTTCGGCAGAGATATGTCCAATCTCCTACCAATAGGTCTCCTGATCACCACATGTGTAGAAAACGTTTTTCCAACAGCAGCTCTACTCATTG